ATACGTAGCACACTCACTGTCTTTTAAAATGAACAGTGCCATTTGTCCCATATATGTACAACTTATCTCATGTGTATTATCGCTTAGTGTACTGACCCAATTCACCATGGCGGTGGCTCTGCTTTGCAACTGCTGCAGGTCCCCTAAAGTATTCTTTTTAACTCTTGATTATCCTGTTCTTTTCTAATTTAATTATTTTGTTATTTTTTCAGTGAAACCAATGTTTATAGGTACTAAAGTCTTTAAAGACTATGACATTATGCGTTTAGTATCCTATATTGACTGGAAGCCTTTCTTCGATGTTTGGCAGTTGCGAGGAAAATATCCAAATAGAAGTTATCCAAAAATATTCAAGGACAAAACCGTTGGTAATTAAAGAAATGCACTCTTGGTAACCACTCCAAACATCTTTATATTATAATATGCTTATTATTAAATTTACATATTTAGTAGGCTTTATTGTATTATTTTATTGCTTTGCAAATAATTTTTGTATTTATTTCATATGTTTTTTGTATTGGACCACATTGGAAATAAGTTGTTTCTTTTCGATTTTATGGGTTATCCTGGTTTTATAAATTTTGGTTTTTTTTGTAATGGTGAAATCAAATCATTAACAAAATGTATATTCTTTATTTAAATACTTTTTATGTCATGTCTTGAAATGCAAGAATTTGAAGGGATAAAATAATACACCAATTTCTTTACAGGTGATGAAGCTCACAGAGTTTTCAATGACGCACAAAAAATGTTAAAGCGGATCATAAAAGAGAAACTCTTGAAAGCTACTGGTATTGTTGGCTTCTACCCAGCGCATAGCATTGGCGATGATGTACATGTGTTTACCGATGATGAAATTCCAAGGCAACAGGAACCAAAAGCTGTGTTTTATGGCCTTCGTCAGCAGGTTTGTCGTAAGATTTGCTATGAGTTATAGTTAAGTAGCTCCCTTCCATGCAAACATCTTCTTTGCCATCTATCTATTTGCAAGCTTCTGGAAGTAAAAATCAACGTAACATTTTTGGATTAGACTGCTAGGCAACTAAGTTGGCTGTAGTTAAGATCCTACCATCGTCAGTACACTTGAGGACATTCATTTTTTTTTTGTGTGTGCTGAGTTTTTTGAGTGTACATGTGCATTTATGCACTTTGGGCCAATGGTTTAAGATTGCTGTAGGATGGATCACCTGTTGAGCTATAATAAGTTCATCTAAATCCATTGTGGTTTAACTTAATGTTTCATAAGATTCATGATTAATTATATTGTTTAAATAAACTAAATTTTTTCGTTAAAGGCTGAGAAGGAGTCGGGTCCATACACATGTCTGTCTGATTTCATCGCTCCAGCTAACACCGGTGTTGCAGATTACATTGGTGCATTTGCAGTGTCTGTTGGATTTGGTGCAGAGGAGATGTGTCGTCAGTATGAGCAGGAGTATGATGATTACAGTATCATCATGGCAAAGTCATTGGCAGATAGGCTAGCTGAGGTAAAGCTGGAAGTTCACCATGTTTTAACCATGTTAGGTGTGACTTTGTTTTGAAAGGTTGTCAGAGGAGGTTGAAAAAATATATAATTAAAGTTTTGTTTTCTCAGTTAGCAAAATGGTTTTGCCAAAAGCATCTAGGCAGAGAAAGAAATAACAATAAACTGTTGTTGACGAATATAACATATGCTAGCATGGTGTCCTTAGGCCCAAGATCCTATCGCACATTCATGAAATGTTGCAATGTAAGCAACTAAAAAATTGATTCATAAATGCTTTATATTTAATTAGTTGTAAGGAAGACATAGCAAATACTTGTTTTTGTGGTGGTGGCAGACACGATAAAAATAAAGATTTTCTGTTTATCTGAAATTTTAATTTTAAGAAGCAGCTGTTTTGGATGAGAGTTTAAATTTATGGATGTATTTACTAAATGTTTCTTACACAACAATTTGTTAATTTATGGATGTATTTACTAAATGTTTTTGTTATCAGAAACAGCATTTTTTAATGAGAGTTTCGTTTATTAAGGATATATACTAAATGGCTCTTATACAACATTTTGTTATTAGGCATTTGCTGAAGAGCTTCATGAGCGAGTTCGGAAGGAATACTGGGGTTATAGTTCAGATGAGATCCTTGATGCCAAAGACTTACACAGCATTAAATATACGGTAAATTTAGGAATGACATTTTCAGCATTAAACACATTGAGTTTAAAAACTACATGTATTTGATATGCTTGTTCATTTACATTATTAGTTTTTTTAATAAGAATAAGAACAAGATTCCAAAAAAATATTTCTCCACGAAAATATTTTTCTCCAATTAAACGAACACATGAATAACAATGTTCCTGTATTATTTGCACAGACCTTTCTAATTTAAGCAGGTTAATTTTGTAGTGAAACAAAAATGGTGTGGAAGATTGAATACTGAAATATATTTAATGTGTTTTTTGCTTCAGGGTATACGTCCAGCTCCTGGTTACCCAAGCCAACCAGACCATACAGAAAAGCTGACCATGTGGAAATTAATGAACATAGAGAAGAGTACCGGTATCAAACTCACTGAATCCCTTGCCATGAATCCTGCTGCCTCGGTATCCGGCTTGTACTTTTCTCATCCACACTCCCACTATTTCTCCGTTGGGAAAATCGCAAAAGACCAGGTAAGGTCATCAAATTGTTTTATAATTAACCTATGGGATTGTATAAAGTGTAAACTTATATCCTTGGTCCAAACTGGTAGATGGAAAGATTCTTGTCATGTCTGCAGTAGCATATCTGGGGGGATGGTGGGGATGTGGCATGGGCAACTTAACTCCCCTCTTCACCCCCACCTTTGAAAATTTCAATGATGTTTACCTCCCACAAATTCATAATGCTTGCATGTTTTAACTTCTGAAATAATTGTCGTCCTGATGTCAGCTAGCCATGTTATCACCACATGCAGCAAACTACATTAAGCCTGTTAAGAAAGCTCATTAAATTATATCTTCCAGAATTAACTTGTACTAATTTGATACACCTGCTATTGTGTTGTCAACTAGACCCAAAAAAGCTATTTTTTTCATATTTTCAGAAATTAATCTGAAATACCTTAATTTAATTTTCTGTGTTTAAACATTTAGGTTGTGGATTATGCTTCTAGAAAAAGGATGAATATTAATGAGGTGGAGAAATGGCTTCGACCAATCCTATCGTACGATTCTTAGTCATGTGGTGTACATGTCTTTTACCAAATAGGGTAAATAGAAGATAAGATGATTATTATAATTATTGTTGTTAGCTCTGAGATAAGTTTATAGGGTGCTATAGCAAGCATCTATATATTATTATTATTTTTATTATGATTATCATTATTTAATATTATTCTCTCTTGTATTTCCTCTTTCTGTATCTATTATTCTACATGTCTCTGGAAAGTACAATAATTTGGAATTTTTGTTTATAATTTAAGTTGTTTTATTCCTCATTATTTTAATAAATAAAATAAAAATTTAAATGATAAATATAAATAGTAAAAATACAATAGTCATAATACCTCGATAAAGCGATTGCTAATTCTTTCCATAAAAAAATATATTTTGTTTACTTGATAAGATTTTGTTAACATATAATTTGTAAGTTTTAAGTTACTTTGTTTATTACTAATGAAGTCAATGTGTAGCTTGGTAACTAAGATTCTTGCATTCCACACTTCAAATTGGATTGGATTTCTTCAGTGTGATACACCCCAAGGATAGGAAATCCAGTCCTACTCTGTGTAACAATGTGATTTCTAGTTAGCTGTTCATTTGTAGTTCACATTTTGCATTTAAAGACACATGCCTGTGTTAACTGCTTTTGGTGGGATTATGCCTTTATTCTTTTATAAATCATCTGCTTTCACCTAAGCATGACCGAAAAAACGAACATTCCTTGTGGCTTGAGGCATCATGTATTTTCCTGCAGGAATTTGTTGTTCTGAACCCTGACCACTGTTGGGTTATAAGCTATAGTGTGCAGAAGAAAAATTGTAGTGGATGAATTTTACAAAGATTTTCCAGGTTGGAAGAACGTAATTGTTTACTGCAGGCCAGCACCTGAGCTGTACCTTATGTGTGAGCACACAATGTGATATTGGTGTCATAAAGTGAAATTATCAAACACATTTTAAATAATTAGTAGACTTTTTTTTATTGAAAATGGTGCATTTTAAATCCTAGTAATATTAATAACAATATTATTATTATTAATTTATTTAATTATATATATATATATATATATCAAACAAATTTTTATGAAAAAGGTTAAGGTTGCACAATTTGTGAAAAATAGTAACATTTTTGACTTCTGCTTATCATGTCTCAAATTCTCTAAATTAAGTACCAAGTGGAGTTAAATAGCTTAAGATGCTTGCCTTAAGTACCGAGTGGAGTTAAATAGCTTAAGATGCTTGCCTTAAGTACCAAGTAGAGTTGAATAGCTTAAGATGCTTGCCTTAAGTACCGAGTGGAGTTGAATAGCTTAAGATGTTTGCCTTAAGTACCGAGTGGAGTTAAATACAGTAGCTTAGTGGTGAAGACAATTGCCTTCCAATCCCAGGGTTGTGGGTTCAATTTCCGTGACATTTTAATATTTAATATTTTGGACAAAAATGAAAACAAGTTTGCCAGTCGGTACTTTATTGTGTTTTATCCTTGAATATTATTTTTGTATTTAGAATAAAGAAATCTCCTAAGTGTTATTATGAGATAATTATTAAGCATAACTTGACCCTGTTGGAGAACAGTAGACGTCTACTAAACAGGATACAAAGTATAGAAGAAAACAAAGTTGAGTGTGTGTGGGGGAGGATGGGGATGTGTGTGTGTCAAAATAGCAAGCTGTGTGATTGATGGTTAAGATGCTCACCTATAATCCTTTTGATAATTAATAGGACCATTCAGTGAAGAGAGGAAAATTATGAATATTTTAAAGTACTTGTAACAAATTATTTGTTTTCATTTTCCTTGCAACAATGGGCTTTCAAAACAATGTACTGTAATTGTAGCACAGTAGTTAATTTTATTAACAAAATAAAATATGGGAATTCTGTAAAACACCTAATAGAAACCCAGTATTCTAATAGTAACCCACTGCAAAATTTAATTTATAATAATGACCTACTACACTAGTAGTAATCCAGTAGGGTACAATTGAGATGTCAGACTTCATACAAGGTGATAGGCCTACAAGTTTTTAGATCATTTAAAATAAAGCATGTATGAGATTGAATTGTGCAATTTGTTCTTATCCATTTTGTCAATTGTGTCATTTGTTAATATTTTCATTCCAAAATCATTTCACATGATGTTTTACATCAATGATTCTTCTCTTCATTATTTATCTTATTACAGTATAAAAAAAGAGTAAATAAATAGAAAATAAGTTTATAAGCATTCTTAAAAAAAAGTATATTGCATTGACATAACCTTTCTTGAAAGTTCACTCGTTGGCAGTGTTCTGAAATACACAACTTTTCTTTTTCCAAGTTCAATTTGAAATATGGATTGATTCGATAAAAGATTAAATCATACTCTATTGTGATTTGGGGTTGAATAATGATTGTAGTAAAATCATAGAGATAGCTTGTTTTCAGCATGGAGACATTGAAAGGTCAGTTAACAAGTGTTAGATTTACTAATATCAATAATGATTGTATTGCAGATACTATTGATGATAGCCAAAGATGATGACTACAATGTTAATGGTTAAAGGCAATAATGGTTGTATGTAATGGACATTGCCTACTCTGCGATTTTTTTTTAAATAAAAGGCTTAACACTTTTACTTGTACAGTAGATGTAAGAGTCAACACAGAAATCATGGTGGGGTGGTTATTTTCAAATTCCTACCTTGTGCTTAATAGTAATAACACAATGCACCATTAGTAACCCATACTCTATTTGCAACTTGCCCTAAAAAAACCCAATGCAATAGCAATCCAGGGTTCCTATCAGAAGTTTTACAGTATTTGAGAAAAACAGGCCACAACCTGGTCATTTCAACATGTGTATGTCATATTTTCTAATATACAACACTAAACCTAAATGAGTTAAATAACATATTAAATTGATTGTTCAGTGCGTGGCCTTGTTTGGTTTCATATTCAATATTTGTTTTTATGATTCAGGACCAAATGTTACACAAATGTATTGATCATTAGGAAGATGTCCATTTCATTTTAATTATTATTTTTTAACCTTTTCACAATAAACACTATTAAAAATTGTTGGTAAAAATGAAGATAAATGAAATGTATATACAAAGCAACACACAGAATTCTGACAAAAGATCACCAGGTTCGGAAACAGTAGTAGTAGTAGTTGAATGGATAGCATTTATTAATATTATAGTAAGTGGAATCAAACATTAGATGCCCAACTTCAACTAAAATCTAAACATATTCTATCTTCTGCCTTATTTGAAAGTATTATGTTCTTGTTGGCTAGTTGCAGGCTTCTATTTAATCGTAAGCCGCTAAATATTCTTAATAGGGAACATCTATAAAACAAATTATGGTTTAAAACTTATTTTTTATAAATATATATATATTTTGGCAGGAATATTATAGCAGGAGCGATTGCGTTGTGAAGTCGGGGTGCGAGTCAAACCTTCACTGTGCATTTTGCTTAGGCACAGCTTAGATTCTCTCATCACCGGCACCACCACCTACAATAATATCATGATGATAATATTCAATATTATTTCAGAAAGCTTCTGACAGATTTTGAGCAAGCAGGACCGCGCCCACTTTACAGTCAAGTTTCTCTGCAAGCTTCAAAGAGGCGAGTCCCTTTCTGTCAACTGCATGGATGTCGGCACTGTGACTTAAAAGATATTTGATACGTTCAATGTGTTCCAGTGTCACTGCCTAAAATGACAATGATAAATCACTTTTATGTGGCTACACAGTTTTTGGTCATCAAATACTGTACAGATTCTCCCTTTAATTAAAGACCCCCTCCACTTAAAAGCCTGGTTATTACGAGAGCCCTAGTATCTGGATCGGGAGCTAACAGTTAGCGCTAACCGATCGGGCGTTCTCACGCAGGTGCTAATGGTTAGCAAGTTGAGCGTGTTTTTATCATCAACCAATCACACGTATGCCTTTACAATTTCCAGTTTCTTATTGGCCAGTGATTCGATCATCATATTTTTGGTATCCGGATCTGGATTTTCTCGCATGGAAGCACGGCAGCTAACAGTTAGCAGGATCCGGATCCTGGTTCCTGCTAACTGTTAGCAGCCGTGGAGAACATAGCCAAAGAGACTTCCAATTACAGATTACCTTTTTGCGAAGCCCTAAATGAATCTTTTGATACATTCAATTTGTTCCAGTCTCACTGCCTAAAAGACAATGAAGAATTATTTACATGTGGCTACACAGTCAATGTGTATCATTTATTTTTATGAAAATAAGAAAATTTGTTTGAATTGAAGACCAAAGCTAAATACTATGAAAACCCTTGTCAAAAGAGTGGTCTTTAATTGAATGGAGACCTGTATCAATTTTGTACAAGCACTAATTCCTCTACAGTACGAGCATGTTTATAATGGAAACATCGAATCCGTAGGCCTACAAGTCTGCATAAATGACGCGATAGGCCTACAAGTCTGCGTAAATGACGCGGTTCAATCTCTCGCTGTGCATTTCGCTTGTGTCCTTAGGTCAGCTTAGGCAAGGCACATTACTTACGGTTGTCCCACTCAGGAGTACAAGTGGGTACCTGGTGTTCATAGGCGTCGATCGGTGGGGGACAAGGGACACCCCCCACCCACTTTTCACCGATCTTCTATAGTTAAAACCCCACTTTTCAAAACGAGTAGAAAGAACAACAATTACGAATGAGATTTCTATCTCTCTAGTCCTGGATTCGAATCGCGGTTGGGGCACCTATTTTTTCACACTCGCAGATTCCTCTTCTTTAACGTTCAACATTTACATATTTTTATAGCATTTCCGCAAGATGATTTCCAGATTATCTCTGTTATATCATGGTTTATTTATAAAACGTATCTCTTTAAATATCTTGTCTTGTCATCAAATGCTAATAAGAAGGGGGTATATCATATTGATCTCTGTTATTTTGCCATGCATTAGGTTTTCTGCGTTAACACAACATAAAAAAAAAGATTGATAAAATTAGAGCACTGTTATTATTGTTTATTTGTTTATTTGATCGAATTGCAAATCCGGTGCTCTTCCAGAGCGATAAAACGAACAAGTAAAGTATGCAGTAAATAAATACTAATAAAATGTAACAGTAGATTTATTAAAAAATTGATTTTTATAGATCAAATGTTGAAACAACATTGTTGGAAAGGGTGGCTGGATCTCAGTTACAAAATTCATATACAGCCAGCCTATATTGTGGTGTATCCAAGGGAGGGCATTGTTCGAGTCGTAATTCCTTTAAGGCGACTGATGTCGTTATCGGAATAGCATTATTTCTTACAATGACAAACTTATCTGTTTGCCACTTATTCAATGGGCATTTTGTTTGCCTCAGTTAGTACAAAAATAATAATATACAAATAATTTGCATATATACATAATAAATAATTAAAAACTAATTAAATATTCACTATGAAAAAAAACACAGAGTGTAGAAATTATTACTGTGCTGTTAGGAATTGCATGATAGAAATATTGAGATGATACAATTCATGATATGATCACAATGCTAATACACCACAATGAAATGCATGATGATCAGAATATGTTAATACACTAATCAGTACTGAGATTAACACCACAATGAAATACATGATGATCACAATATGTTAATACACTAATCAGTACTGAGATTAACACCACAATGAAATACATGATGATCACAATATGTTAATACACTATCAGTACTGAGATTAACACCACAACGAAATACATGATGATCACAATATGTTAATACACTCATCAGTACTGAGATTAACACCACAATGAAATACATGATGATCACAATGCTAATACTGTACACTAATTAGTACTGAGATTAAAACAATGAAATACATGCAACTGTAGAGTTATGCTTTCTAGCTATAGATATGCTGTCTGTGTTAAGTAACAACTGACAATGAAATTCAATATTTTGTTTACTTAAATAAAGACTGGAAGGTACACTGCTTAATTTTCTGTGGCTGGACATAATGATGTCATACCACACCCATATTTGGTGGGCAAATTCACAGGTACCTGTCACACAAGACTTAAAGTGTGAACAGCGCTTTAAATAAGATAATATAATACATAAAAATTATATTTATCTGTACAACTATTAATTTATAATATTTTCAGAAGGGCAATTCTTAATATAAATGATAATGGTAATGATGATAATAACATTTTGTGGCTTGTGTTGTGTGTGATAGGTTTAATAACCAAACCAAAATTATAATATAAAAATACTAAGAATAAAAAAATTTAAAAAAATAAAAAGAAAAATTATATATAGCTTATTTACATAATTTGTGGAATTAAGAAAGTATAATACATACTCCAAGTATTGAAATACACGCCATCGTGTTGGGATTCAATATTTCGACATTAATTAATTCATTTTGTGGAATTAGTTACCATATGTCATTAACTGAAATATGGTAACTTAATTCCACAAATTATTTGTGGAATTAGTTACCATATGTCATTAACTGAAATGTATATTACTTGACTTCATTAGTTCTGAAATGCATTTATGATCAAGTTTCTCTGCTAGCTTCAAAGGAGTGAGTCCCTGTTGGTCAACTGTATGAATATCGGCACCGTGACTCAACAGATATTTAATGCAGTCAATTTGTTCCAGTGTCACTGCCTGCAAAAAATGAACAATTATTTATATGCGGACAGAACATTTCCAAGTTGGTTGTTACCAAGGGCACAGATCTGTTTTGTAAGGTTTGGGGGGGGGGGTTTGTAAGGTTGGGGGGGGGGGGGGTTCCAGTCATGAGTGCGCACCCAAAATTGTGGGCCTGAGCTGCAAACATTTTAGAAAATAGTACCTCTAGATGGGCGGAAATGACTCTCTTATGGGTAATTTTACATTTTATGATAATAGGTCAATTTCCCCCAACACCAATGGAAGCCATTATTAGGTGTGAGTCATTAAACAAACAAGACAAAAAGAGAACCATGCTTTCGCACAAGAGTGGTGCCAGTAGGGGGAGGGGGGATGGAGAGAAAAAAATTATATTTATTTTGACTCTAAAATCTATTAAATTAGCCTTTGAAATCCCCACTTGTCCAAATTTATGGGGCTTTTGGCTTCGTAGACCACTTTGAAATATTTTGAGCAACGCCCAACCATGCCCACTTTGCTCTGTTTAAGGACAATTGCCCCCCTCTGCCATTGTTGACAGACAAATCCTGGCACCACCCCAGCTGTTGCATCACATACCACATGTAGTGCTGTCCTCCCGGTATAATCAGTGTTGTTAAAATTTACATCAGCAATATGGAATGCTTTCAGTCCATCAACATCTCCAAGCTCCACAGCCCTGCCCATCAAAATAAAGTGATAAAAAAATGTTAAAAAATCACAAAAATGAAAGCAAAACCCTGTAAACCTATTTATTTCATTATTTAGCTAACAAATTCCCATTATATCAATATCTGCAAAATGGTTTTGTTAATTGTTTATATATGCTAGTTGCATAATTTCACAAATGTCTGCCCTAATTTTTACATCATTAATGCACAATGAAAAACTGATTAAAAAATGTGAAATTACATATCTAATAAATTTCATTTATATCAGTGCTAAATTTTTAGCATCATTTACATATTCATTCACTAACTCCTTGCACTATGGAACCTGTATATCTTATGCTTTATGAGGATTAGGAAGTGGAAATGTAACAGGACAAATTTTGACTATTAGCAACTCACCCACAGTGAATCAACTCCCCCTTGTATTATTATTTTCACCAAAACTTATGCAATTGTAATATATGAGATGGATAGTATATAAACCATGAACCTAACTCTTATGTACAAATATAGGTTTAATATTGAATAAAACCTACAATTAAATACTGAGAAAGCCTTACCGGCATAGCAAAGATGCAATTTCTTGAGTCGTTTCACGTATAAAATGTCCACCTGTTTGCCGTATAAGTTTAATCACCTCAAAATTTCTAAAAACAAGAGAAAAAATATAAAAGATATGTGCTGAATTATTAAATTTATTATAAAATAATAAACTATTTATAAGATAGATAAGATTGGAAAGTCTTTCCATAAATAAAAAAAATTAATTGTATTGCACTTGATGTTCTTTACCTGGTAGATTCCAACACAACCTGCGCTGATTACTAGCTGCAATTTATGGAATGATAATATAATTTCATTTACTAATTTAATTTGGTGTTTCAATGTGTTCCATATGTGTTTGATCCAATGACCAGGGTAGTAATGTGAAGCGCTTAGAGGCCTTGTAAAGGCATAAAGCGCTATATAAGAACGACATATTATTATTATAATTATTACTTACTGTGGAATTTCAAATTTAATTCTGACCTTTGATGAAATAGTTCATCAGCTGTTCTGTGTAGGTAGTAAATTTTATTGTTTATATATGCTGTGCTTCTCAATAACAATAATAAAAAAAATTAATGCATTGGACCTTTGCATTTCTAAAATAACACTTATTGGACATAGAACCTTGTGTTTTTCACTGTACAGCTTTAAAGGACGAATACTATACCAACAGACTTTTTGCAAACAATTTTGTAGGCAATCCTACCAAATGTCTAAATAACAACCGTGTCAATATTTTTATTTATAGACATGTTCTACTGATTACATAACTGAGTGAATGTAGAAAAGCTTGTTTTATGATAATATTTGGTAGTTTCATCATTGTATATTATATGCACTTTTTTGTTTCTAATCTTAAGTTTGCAACCACAATCTTATGTAAGACCAAGTATCGAAATGCACGCCATCATGTCAGGATTTAATATTTCGATATTAATTAAGGATGTACATAACATTAAGCAACCTAGAGTGCGAATGTATGGTGTAATTGTGATTTAATGGCATGTTTTATAAATATATATCATCAATTTCATCATAATTTTACTGGGTATTTTTTTAATACTGTAATGTATTCTTACCTGCACCTTATGCTTTCCATATATGGTGTGTTACCAAAACAATCCCTAGCATAGATTGAGCATCCATTCTCCAAAAGATATGTCACGATGTCTACATGGCCTTCTCTGGCGGCCATGTGCAAAGGTGTCCTCTGATCATAATCACCTAAGTTTAAGTTCCCTCCCTGATAGATAAAAATCACAAAGTTGTTTTTTTTTTAGTATGTTGAGATATTATTATGAACACATTTACATTCAATCTTGGAGAAATGATAAAATAATGAAGTATACTGGTAAATGTTATTTACTTACAAAAATTGTTTCAGCACATAATCCAAAAAATGTGCCAATTTTAGACTTTCTAAATAGAAATCCCTTCATACATACACACACAGTTTGCTCTACATAAAACATAAACTCATTATAAGGCCTATGGAGTATGGTCATGAGAAAAAATTATTCTACTTTTGCAGAGAATTGAACCCAGGACACTGGGATTGGAAGGCAACATTCCAAAGATGTACTGTCCCATGCAAAACACATAATAAAAAATCATAAAATTCATTTTTGAAATTAACTTGAACATAGGAATGATTTATTATAAAATGTTTACCCATAATTTTATAAATTACATGTTTAAAGCTAAGGCATATACTGTAGCAGATCCATTAAGGGATGTTGATATTTAATCTTTGGATTAGGAGAAGCAATTAATATCTCGACGAGATTTGATTGACAGATAAACCGTCTAATGAGCAAACGTCATTTAGTCACGTGATCAAAAACTTTTTCTCAGACATTTTAATTTCCTTAGACAGCGGTTTAAATGCGAAACATACGTGAGCCTAGGCCTAGATGTCTAATGCTTGGTTATAGATACCCAGATTTACACGAGCAGTGCGCATCAGTGACTTGGCCTTTGCCGACAACAAGGTTGACTGAATGCGGCTTTTCCCTCTTCCTTTGGGAGTGAAATACAGAGGCTTTTACAACAATTTCCCCGCCATGTTCCATGAAATAGCCAGCATTGCCTAAGGTTTTCGTGACTTTGTGGGCGGGGCTTCGCATCCTTGTCGACATGTCAATTGCGTCACAGACAGACCAAAAATTGATGCTGCCTTGATCAATACTTCAGACTCAGTTTAGAATTGCCTACTACGGTAATTAAAATGGAATTGGATTTCAGTTAAATCAAAATACGGTAATTAAATCTGTTGAAGGTTTGAAATGACTTGGGAATTGTAAGTGTACTGAGAAATCAGTGCATTATGGGAAGTTCAATTTTTTCAAACTAAATATCTTGAAAGGATAATAATAAAAATGATGAGAGTGATGATGTTAATGATTGTGATGACAAGAATAATGATAATAATGAAGAAGACTCACTATGACGATTGTGTTAATGGTGATGACAATTGTGTTGATGATGATTATGATGGTGTTGATGATGCCAAGATGATAATGATGTAATAATCATGACGGTGGCAAAAATTATTATAAAAATAAATATCGATTTTGGAAGATGAAGATGTTTATGAAATACACTCTAAACATTCATAATTTTCATAATATAATAATATTAATGAATGCATTTTATGTGGTCCTATAATATTTTATATATTACTAAGTGTAAATAAATTGACATTAAAATGAGGTTTATTACCATAGACGCATATTGTTTCAGCAAGGTCAAGTCACCATTTTTGGCAGCGGCACACATCAACACTGGGAACAGTGCAGTGCTTACTGATTTCACCTCCTACAAATAAAACACAATTTATATTATCTAGCAAACAACATATCTACTGGTAATACAATATTAATATTCGATAAAATCTTTTTTTACCATACTCATATTCATTTACTGAGAAGGTATTCTTTTAAGAGTCTATAACTTTATTGCACAATTTAAATTTAACAATCAGTATAATATAAATGGAAAGAAAAAAAAATTAACAAGAACTACATTATGATCATGCAATAAAATGATTAAAAGAAATCATACAAAAGAGAAACAATCAATACATACCTAATTTTAAAAAATTACGTTTATGAAATTAGATATATATTGGCTGAATCTAGATTGAGATTCTATTTTATGCCGAAAATTCACAGTGAACACTAAGATAAATATGAGCTGCTTCAATGAACTTTGTAGTCGTCAAGAGAAAACTAACAATTGACCTCTGACTGTTTGATGTCTTGAGAGTTTCAACAACTACTTGAATGAGCTTGGAGTCTTCAAGAGAGAACTAACAATTGACCTCACCTGATTGTTTGAGATGTTGAAAGTTTCAACAACTGCTTGAATGCACTTTGACTCGTCAAGAGAGAACTAACAATTGACCTCACCTGACTGTTCGAGATGTTGAGAGTTTCTACAACTGCTTGAATGAACTTTGAGTCGTCAAGAGAGAACTTCTTTACTTCCTCGTTACTGACTTGGATCTCACCACGTAAGTTTCTCTGAAGCATATCCAGCTGATGTTTACGCGTCAAACCCTGTTTGCCAAGGACGTAGCCAAGTTTTGCCAGTGCTGCCTCAGGGTTGATATCAGCTCCTGGAATTACCCCAACATCTATTAAAGCCTAGTTACGACAAAAACAAATATGTGTAATTAAATATTTGTGCATGACATGAATTATTAAATGAATAAATGTGTACATTGTGCTTACATTCCACTTGACCACTCAACTCACCTTTTTGATGTTTATGTTGTGATTTATGTATTATGATGAGAATTGTGATTTATGTATTATGATGAGAATTACTATCTAGAATTTCAACCCAGCATTATGGAATGGGAAAGTGAGCACCTTAACCACAAATCCATGGATTCATTCTAACATAACATAATTTTTTTAATGATAATTTAATAACCTACTTTTCCAGTTTCATATGAATTTGAAACCACTCCTTTGACACACTGAGTACAATTTAAAATCAACACCCCTCTGTCGGATGCCGCTTTGAATTCATCTAAGAGTTCCTTGTGGTCACTAGGTCCATTGCCTGCTCCATAAGTCTGGAGGACGACACCTTGCATTGGCGGTTGCAGGAATGATCTCACCTAAATATAGAAAACTGGATATTATTTTTATAATAAACTGGATATTATAGTTATAATTATTATTATAGTTATAATTCTGATATCAATAAAAAAAAAGATTCCTACAAACCCCACAGACAATATCAACAAGATGACAATCATGTTCTTATTTTTACTACATTTATATATAAGCTATTATTATTTATTTTAAATATTTTTAGAAATTATGTTTTTTTTATGCATTGTTCTTAATAATTGTTCTTAATTATTTAGACATTATTAAAGTTTTTCTGCCATGCCAACTGCCAATTTCCTCTTTGGATAAATTTTGAATTGAATTAATATAAATAATTAAACAATTTAAATGTACTTATTATTATTAACTACAGGTATATAAAAATTGCAGTACTCACGGTTTGTACAGTGATACAAGGGAACAGCCTCAGTAAGCCGACATTACAGTTCAAATTAGTGTGAACTTTAAATTTTTGTGTAGACTTACTCCGAAATAAACTATCCCAGTCCACTGAAATGACAATTAGCATAATACAGTATCACATTATAAAATTTAAGTTTAATTTTAATTTGAAACAGTAATTGCAATATACATTAATTCATATATAAAATATGTAAATATTTTGTATATGTATATATTCAAAATTAGGCTTGCTGAGAACATCTTATGTTCCTATCTGAACACTGTTATTTATCAATTTGCATACATACTGTATACATATATAATACTGTATTCTTATACACATCT